CACTGACATTTACGGATCACTCAAAACAATCAAGAATCTCGGCCGCGTTTCCATAGAGAAAGGGAAATCAGCCAAGATCGTACACTCAGCGATAAGAAGATCGAGCTCTCGCCGCCACCTTCTCGCACAAATATCCTTCGAGACTTTCGAGTCAAATCACAAGGAACTTGATCACGGAGATCGCAAGCCATCATTAGCAACCACTTGGTATCCCAATGCATTTCAAGAGAGGTGGAAGCCCCCCTTGATCTCCTTCGGCCGCGTGGCTCCATAGAAGTGTACTCTCTATACGAAGTTTCTCTTTCTTTATAGTGTTGTCCGAGTCATCTTTCGCTTTTAAGCGTCCTGCGAAGTGGGCTCTTAAGCCCACTACGCAGATATTGTGGCGTTGTCGATGGCGTCGTTGGTTGTGATATCAAATATAGGCGCTGTCTGTGGGCGAAAATTCCCCGTAGCTACGAATAAATCAATGATGAAATTGTTCTAATTGAACACGATTCCACTCTTCTGCCGTTGAACGTAGCTTTCCACGTCAGATTCACGCCACTTCATGAAACTGATTCTTGAAAAACTGCACATGAATGGTATGTAGAATCAGAAGCCAGTGCGCCCGCTACAGGTTTAGCCCAGTGAGAAAGTAACTCTGCATTTGGAGGCGAGCCTCCTGACAACACGCGAGTGCAACATTATGGCGACGTATGGAGACTGGAATTCGCAATTAATTCTTGAAGTTCGATAAAAATTGCTTACTGTTCTCTTTACAAATAATGCCATACACTCACATAACCACGCCATATACCTGAATTCCCACCGGCCGTTGGGTGATTCAGCCCTTCGACACGCTACGCACAAAAATGTGTACACGACTTGTTAACATGTTATTTCCATGCTTCACAAACACACGCGTCCTGTGTACATGCTGCACAATACAACATTAAATATTGCCGTAATAATGCATCGTACTTGTGCCTACATTGCCATCGGGCGTCAGAATATCGTAATCATAACTGACTTCCAAGTTTAAAGCCACTCACCCACTACAAAAGGCACACACGCTACTGCACGACGTTGGGTGCATAGCAAGTTCGAAAAAATTTATTCACTGTATGAAGTTTGCACTGGGACCAGAATATCGCTATCACGGTCAACTCTTAAAGGCGAAGTTTACGGGTCCCCCAGTTTTTGTTTCGACTGCCGCGAGCCCTTGATATTTCTTTACTGCTTTGTCACAGGTATAGTTTCAGTCTGATTTATAAAAGAGATAGTGCACCGTCTACACACTGAGTGCGATCTACAGTTTTGTCCTTCTCCTTCAAATAAAATCAAATAAAGATCACTTCACTTCGGGGCATTTCATGCGGAGACAGCGGCTAAAGGCTCAAACAGCCTGACGAGACCCCGGCCCCCGTTGAATTCGTGCAGCGCTTTCGAAAGCATGTACAATACTGTGCACGTTGAATAAGAAGAGAATTGAGTTGCACTCAATATGCCACCAAGAAAACTGAAAAGTTAATGTTGACTTTTTCTGCTTACAAATATAGCAATAATACTTAATTACACAATAAACACGTAATGTATGTTAATACATAATTAACACACATTACGAATTATACATGCCTATAACATAAGCAAGTGGTTCACAGAGATTTTCGCTTACTTACGCTGTATACACGTGCGAGGCTTTGTGTGGTGTTACAGATACGTTTTGAACATCAGTGCGTTAGTACAGCACACGTAGATAAATAACAGAAAGCGCAAATGCCAGTATACAACAAAGCAAATATCACACCAGCCTACAACACGCATGCTGTCGTCAGGTGAAATGTTTTATACATTCATTTGATCCTACTAAGACTATCTGTCCAAGTTATTATGCCTATCCTGTTTGTTCAAAATTTGTATAGCTCGATAGGATATTAGTTGTTTCCCGTAATTTGTCCTAAGCTTCGGAAGCCTCCTCATTTGCTGCCTAAACGCGTAATGAGGTTCAGCTACCATGCCAATATTTTATAGCATGTCTGTGGTATGTATATGCGGTTTTAGCTTATAAAGGTAAGTTTGATTGGCCATAAGCACGTCCATGTCGCATGAATTATTCCCGGGTGCGCAAATCCCGTACTGTTACTTATCTTGTAAATCCCGTATAGTTATCATAGTTACTTTGAGAGGTAGTACCCCATACTAGTGAACAATAGGCAATCTTTGAGTAGACTACAGTGTAATAAAGAGATTTCCTTAGGCGAAGAGGTATTAATGTAAAAATCTTTTTAATGAATCCTAAAGATGGAGCTATATCAATTGCCAAGTCCACGGTTCACATGATAAACAACAGAAATATTCTGCGTGCCTAATATTCTGCGTGCCGTATGGAACATGCATAGTCATGTTAGTCGTGTGCAATTGGGGGAGAAAACATAACGGACTTAGTTTTACAAGCATTTATTTGTAGACAGTTTTCTTTTAAGCCATTCGGAAGGCTTCTCCAGATAATCATTATTCTTTTCTGAAAGTTCACGTTTTGTGTCCGCGCAGTAGAAATATACTTGCGTCGCCCGCGAGCATTAACAGATCGAGTGTTCTGTCAATTTGTGTTGTATCGCTGATGTATAACTAAAACAGCGTAGGACCGAACACTGATCCTGTGGGTACTTCATTGATTACATTTACTTGTGCGGAGAGGTAATTATTTGCATTTGTAAACTGTAAGCGTTTTTCGAGACGGTTACTTATAAATGCGTGGTACGTATAGCCATAACGATTCAGTTTGGAAAGTAATATACTGCTTGCTTTTCGCAAATGCTAGAAATAGCCCTAATATTATTCTCAATGCATATGTCTGTGTCGAATATTTCGAATGACATGCAACTTTCGTGATTACTAGAAATTGGGATTCTATAAATTAGCACACGGTACAACTTCCTAATATGAACAACTGCTCTGAAGTTGAAAATTTTAAATTAAATGCTTATTTGTTTATTACCTTTGACAATGCTTTCTTTATATGCGTTGAAGTATTTGTGCCATTTTATGCAGTGGGTGTGCAGGGACGACTAAGTGCCTGATTGTCATGGATTTCTCATAAACTATATGTATTGTTTTTTAAACACCCTTTGTACTTTTTTAACTAGCAGTTCATTCAAGCATTTGCTATATAATACGACACGCAAACATAGAATGTGTACAATCCCAACTCTGCTGCTGTATACCCACTGCGCGCAGTGCTTAACCGCAAATGCTTCACAAAGCGGAAAACATACGGCAATGTCGTCTACGCTTTTGTTTCACGCGAGAAATAAAGAAAAACTTGAAATTCCACATGCGCGACGCATGTATTGACGAATTGCATTGAACGAATGCCAGAGAAATTGCACGAGTCGTTTGCATACCTGCCGCACTTGGACAGCAGAGCCGCCTTGAAGCACTTTTCGGCAGGGTATCTGGTGCGGATGCACTGCCGCGAGCAGCCTAGAGCCGTGGGGAATCGGTTAGGGCTCCGGTTGCAAACCTCGACCCCCGAAAGGCCACTCAGCGCGACGCAGGCGTTCGTCGCTGGGTTGAAGTAGAACTCGCGCCGGGGTTCCGCGCAGAACTTGAAGAAGACGCGCTTGGCATCGGTCCGTGTTCTGCAAAGGACGCGCGAAACCCAACAAGGTTCGATCAGCATTCGGGTCACGCGGCGTACACCAGGGTATTCTTGCCGCGGAAGCAATAAGGATAGAATTAAAGCTTTGATATTAGTACTAAAGAGAATCGTTTCAATAGGAATCACAATATAGAGCGCTTTCGTTAGTGTTTTTCCTGCATTGTATGTTTAACCAACAAGGATCGCTGCATTCACTTCGAGGGACCACGCACGCAAGTTTTTAAATGGATTGTAACAACGGGCAGTGAAGAATCATTGAGCGCAATATTATAGTAAAATAAACTCAATCAGCGAACATGTTATTCATAAAGCAAGTAAGGTGTATGATTTTCGTGAATTATAATAAGTCAAGCCTTTCCCCTACGCGTGCTTTGCCATAAAAAAAAACAAAGTGCCACCCAGATAAGTTTCAGAAAAGTGGACGTATGGAAACAACGTTTTTTGAAACTCCCCATCTCTAATCAAACTAACATTTCAGATAAATTTACAGGCATATTTAATCTAAGAATATTCGAGACGCAAGATTATCTTCGCTGATATTCGTCTATATTTGGCACTTAACACATGTAATACAACTGAACATAATACTAACAGCAGGAGGGGGGTATTTGTGGCTATAATCGCGCCGTACGTTTCATTTCTAGAACTACAACTGTCACTCTAGCGTAACAAGCTATAAATCATCGCTCTGTCTTGCTAACTTGCAATCACGCAGACTAATTGCATTGCTTTGCTTATTCTGTAGGATTGTCTATAGTACCCATCAGTCATCGCTGCCACCTAGCAAATCTTTTACGCACTTCACGTCGTTTGAATAACACATAAGGCTATCATCACATTTCAGCTGGAACATGGCTATTTGATTCGTCCGCCTTGCTACAAGCAATTACATACTCATTCAAATGGTCTTCCAGAGCACATAGTTAGCATTTGAAATGCACCCAAATTTAGGGTCGAAGGTAACGGTGCATATTTTCTAATTGATAAGTTATTTACTTCTTGAATAAGCATGTTTACTAGCTTTTTTTTAGTTCTCTTTCTTTTTTTAATGTTCTGTACTACTTCTATAAGCATGCATAAAGTTGTTTCCATGCTCCAGTTATTATTGTTCTAGTTATTAACCCGCCTTCACACAATACTCTGATGTAGGAGCCTGTGAGGCGTTTTGAATAATGAATAAATAAATAAATAAAGAGATAAATAAATAAATAAATAAATAGATAAATAATATTGTTCAAGTAAGTAGTCATTGCAATTATTGCGCAAGTGACGGCCCCAAGTTAATCACCTAACGCGTTGCATTGCATTTCATAACTCGTAAGTTTCCGAAAGCAACTCTCGATGTGGGCGTTGGAAGTCACTTAATCGCGATAAGAACGAATTGCGCAGCATTATTGCTCACTGCATTTTTCGACGACGCTGGGTAGAGTGGTGAGCTCAAGCGTCTGACCTGGTGCCGAGAACGGGGCTCAGCGACCGGGCCCGGCACGTCGGCGCCTTCAGGAAGGACAGTGCCAGCGGACGCAGGCGCAGATGCACGGGTTTTCGTGGCGGCCTTTGTTGTTACCCGGACGGGCCCGCTTAGTGCATTTTCCAGTTTTGCCGCATTCTGGATAACCGGAGCTCCTTCCGCGTTGCCCTTACCAGGATTGGCTACAAAGGGAACGCGTTCGAGTGGATAAATTTGCAAAGCGACGTATACTAAGTGAGCTGCCTCCTTACTGGAAGTTTTCAATATCGCTACAGTAGATCACCAAGAAAAAGTGGAGTGGTCTAAGAGATAACCATTTGAGTGCCGCACTAGGCAGACCTTATTATTATTGTTTTAAGTTTTCAGGCTTCAAGAAAAAACAAAAAGCTCCTTTACGTTGCTCCGAACTAAAATATTTGCCATGGTGAAAAGCCCAAAAAGGCGCGAGACACTATAGCTTCTACACAATCTCATTATGTAAACAAGTTCTCCATTCACAAACTGATAAACTCCGAATGATTTGCGTAACACAACACCGTCTGATTTAGAAAACTTAGCGTATCTCGCTAGCAATATTAGAAACATGAGGAAGAGACGAAACTTGAAGAAATGCTGCTCATCATTGTATCATGTTCAAATACCCGTCAATCAGGACACCTTATTTCATAAAATCATGGATGCAGGACTTGCTTATAAACCTTCAGTTAATTATCTCTGATGATGTCAGCAATACTTTATTTTTCTTAAAACTATGAATGCAGGACTTGCTTGCAAACCTTCAGTTAATTTTTTTTTGAGGCTGTCAGCAATACTTCATCGTTTTTTTTTTCATCTTACTAAATTCCAATATTCTGTTCAGTGACCAGCCTGTATAATATAAAGGAAACTATTATATGGAAGACAAGATAGCTCCATGTTTTAACCGTCTCAGTGGCTGGCCTTAGGTGTATATTTGTAATGATGTGCGTGTAGACAGCACAATAAATGAAATTACATAAAAAGTTGGTCTTCCCTGGAAGGCTGACGCTTTCTTTGCGCTATAGATGAATGTTTTGGTATCGCCTCAGAGTGAAATGCTGTCAGTATGCTTGCTTTCACTTTGTAACATATATTAGCGTGCCAGATGGTTTTCCACAATAGCACTAAAATCTGATATCTTTATTTATTGGTCGCTTTTATGTTGCCGAGTAGCACAAATGTATACCATTGGGTTAAAGGAAAAAAAAAAGCTAACGTGTTCTAATCGCCGAGAGTCAACTTCATCATCATATTTCTTTTTTTGGTTTGGAAAAAATGCAGCAATTGATATTTATCGTCTCTTATGCCGAAACTCAAGGACGTCCTTGAAAAGCTTAAAGGGCCCCTGAAAAAGAATATGGAAAACATAAACCATTTGTAGACAACAGAAGTAGACTATTCATGCCATTGTTTGTCTTGTAACCGCAGAGCCGCGAGTAATTAGTGGTTGTGCTCCTCTGAAGTTATGCTCTGTCTTTCCTGAAATTTCTTGAGCAGTCGTGTCCAAGTTCGAAGTTCAGAAGGACAGAGCCAGGCGCACAGTAAAATTCAGAGGCCATCCACCATGCTTCCCTAGTTCATTTTTGCACCACCGAGTGCTGTCACAAACGACCTTGGTAAAATTTTCTTCTCCGGCCCAAAGCCAACCTGATCGGCCAAATTCGAGCGACATCCCTATATAGTAGCTTGTTCAAAAACAAGAGTTGCTGAAATTTTCGCGTGATTGCGAACCATGATAGTTCACAATAGGTATACCTAAAGCATCAAAATAAGTGACAGTTCTTACGCACAGCACTTATCTAACCTCTAAATGAATTCAAGCATTGAGGTGACGATATCAATGAGTGTATACGAATATCATCATCATCATCATCATCATCAGCCTGACTACGTCCACTGCAGGACAAAGGCCTCTCCCATGTTCCGCCAGTTAACCCGGTCCTGTGCTTGCTGCTGCCAATTTATACCCGCAAACTTCTTAATCTCATCTGCCCACCTAACCTTCTGTCTCCCCCTAACCCGCTTCCCTTCTCTGGGAACCCAGTCAGTTACTCTTAATGACCAGCGGTTATCCTGTCTACGCGCTACATGCCCTGCCCATGTCCATTTCTTCTTCTTGATTTCAGCTATGATATCCTTAACCCCCGTTTGTTCCCTAATCCAATCTGCTCTCTTCTTGTCTCTTAAGGTTACACCTACCATTTTTCTTTCCATTGCTCGCTGCGTCGTCCTCAATTTAAGCTGAACCCTCTTTGTAAGTCTCCAGGTTTCTGCTCCGTAGCTAAGTACCGGCAAGATACAGCTGTTATATACCTTCCTCTTGAGGGATAGTGGCAAACTACCTGTCATAATTTGAGAGTGCTTGCCGAATGTGCTCCACCCCATTCTTATTCTTCTAGTTACTTCAATCTCGTGGTTCGGCTCTGCGGTTATTACCTGCCCTAAGTAGACATAGTCTTTCACAACTTCAAGTGCACTATTACCTATCTCGAAGCGCTGCTCCTTGCCGAGGTTGTTGTACATTACTTTCGTTTTCTGCAGATTAATTTTAAGACCCACCTTTCTGCTCTCCTTGTCTAACTCCGTAATCATGAGTTGCAATTCGTCCCCCGAGTTACTCAGCAATGCAATGTCATCGGCGAAGCGCAGGTTACTAAGGTATTCTCCATTGACTCTTATCCCTAACTGTTCCCATTCTAGGCTTCTGAAAACCTCCTGTAAGCACGCGGTAAATAGCATTGCGGAAATTGTGTCCCCCTGCCTTACACCCTTCTTGATTGGTATTCTGTTGCTTTCTTTATGAAGCACTATGGTAGCAGTTGATCCCCTGTAGATTTCTTCCAGAATGCTTATATATACTTCATCTACGCCCTGATTCCGCAGTGTTTGCATGACGGCTGATATTTCTACTGAATCAAACGCCTTCTCGTAATCTATGAAGGCTATGTATAGGGGTTGGTTATACTCTGAGCATTTCTCTATTACCTGATTGATAGTATGAATGTGGTCAATTGTTGAGTAGCCTGTTCGAAATCCTGCTTGTTCCTTTGGTTGAGTGAATTCTAATGTTTTCTTTACTCTGTTAGCAATTACCTTTGTAAATAGCTTGTATACTACGGAGAGCAAGCTTATCGGCCTGTAATTCTTCAAGTCCTTGTCATCTCCTTTCTTATGTATTAAGATGATGTTAGCGTTCTTCCAAGACTCTGGTACCCTTCCCGTCAGGAGACACCTCGTAAACAGGGTGGCTAGTTTTTCTAACACAATCTGTCCTCCATCTTTCAGCAGATCTGATGTTACCTGATCCTCACCAGCAGCCTTGCCCCTTTGCATGCTCTCCAAAGCTTTTCTGACTTCTTCTATCATTACTGGTGGGGTGTAATCTGGGTTACTGCTAGTTCTTATAGTATTAAGGTCGTGGTTGTCTCGGTCGTGGTTGTATATTAAGGTCGTGGTTGTATACGAATATAGGCATCCTAGAAGTTTGAACGACTAAGTTAGAATGCGTTTTGGTCAAAGTAAGAATGCGTTTTGGTGAGACGTGACATAAAGGCATTGAGACTAACGAGGCTATACCATGACTTTTGAAGCATAAAATAGCCTTTTCGACAGCTTAACTTTACAGGACTTGACCCCCTAACAGTTGCTCGGTAAGGTGTAAATGTGAGCACTAACGGCTGCCCGATAAGATGTAAATGTGAGGACTAAATGTTAGTATATTGAGGTGATTGGAAGAACTAACAGTTGCCCGTTAAGGTGTAACTGTGAGGACTAAATGTTAGTCCCTCAAGCTAATCTGTGGGGCTAACTGTTAGATCCGCTGCCGTCAGTCTTTACAGAGAGTAATGGATGTGGCAGCCCCATTAGTCCCCAAAATGACGCACCACACACATTTTAACATCGTTTTGCCTTAGAGCGTCGGCGCTAAATCTTTCGTGTTAGCAAGCGCCTGCCATAGCCCCCGTATACCATACGGTGTTTTAATGGTCATCAGCCTGTTCGTAAAACTCACGTATACTACAGGGTGCCATGGGTACAAAAACGAATCTCCATATTCACCGGGAGAACTAAAAGCAAAAATTCAGCTAGTTGGTTGTTCATACAAAGATGTAAAAACAGCGAAAAAATACAGACAAATACAGATGAGCAGACGACAAAGCCCTGAACTCGCAGCTTAAATTTCTTAGAAGGAACACACACATAAATCAGGCAGAGTACCTAGACACATGGCATAGCATAGCAGTCTGAGTAGCACAGCAAACAGGGTACAAAAAGATCTGATCATGGTGAAAAGCGACACATGTGTAACAACCGAGAAAAAAAGAAAAAAGAACCTACTGCCGAAAAGATCAGTGACAGTCTATAAAAAACTAACAATCGTTTTCACCTGACATCACTGAACCCAGGATATCTAACCTCCTTTTTACCAAGGGACACAGACGGTTCTGCCGCGTACATTTCCTTCTCCCTTTCAATGTAAGAAGCCTCCATCAGCTCTCTACTGCATTTGTACGGATGGCCCTACAAACAAGTGCTTCCGTCCACCACACTCTCTGAAAACGGAGCTGGCTTAAGTGCAAACCGCCAGTAGTCGTAATGAAGACTGAGTGTTTTCTTAGTCTAGCATTGATGCACCACCCGGTTGGTCCTGTAGACCTGATGGAAAATTGCTGCCATCTGTCGGCCGTCGTGTGTATACCGCAATGTTAGAGGCTCAGCGCGGTGCAGTACACTAAGTGCCACGTGTGTTTACGTATACGTAAAGCTTAACGGCGTGAGGCGTGTGTTGGGTGATAATCGCAATGCCAACGTATTTCTGCGTCTCTTGCTCCCCGTAGAGTAGGAACTCGAAATGCTTAATTAAGAAAGGTAAGCCGCAAACATTTCCCCTTGTTATTTTTTCTAGCTGATGATGTTTCCAGAATGTACTCCAGCAACTGCTCCCGAAGCACGTGTTAGCGTTCTCCTTTACAAGCGAGTAAGACGTGCCATAGCGTCTGCACTCGTGTTGCCCTCTAACTTTTCGCACGCCGAAGCAAAGCAGTTTTTGCAACGTTTCCGCTATCAGTATTATCAGTATCAACACGTGAAGGCGACTCGTACACTTCACGCAGCAGCCACGTTGACGCAACGGAGCTTTATCGTGGCTAATTGCACGTGGCTGCATTTCGTTGAATATACCGAGCCTATCGAATGCTTGAAAAACGTTCGCAGTCATGCGCAAGTGAGCCCACTAAGCGGAAGCTTGTCACTACTTCAGAAGAGAAAACGAAACAACATGAAATGAAGGTGCTGTAGCACCGTGGCTCCCTTCTCGGAATAAAGCGGTGACACGCACTCGCTTCTAATTCAGCGTACGTCGTTACCAAAACTTAACAAAAGAGAAGAAACAAAACGTTCAACGAAATGTAGGCGCGCGCATTTAGCCGCGATCAAGCTCGTTGCGGCAACGTGACTGCTGCGTGAAGCGTACGAGTCGCCTTCACGTGTTGAACTGCTGATGGCGGAAACGTTGCAAAAACTGCCTCACTTCGGTGTGCACTCGTTTGGAAAGGAGAACGGAAACACGTGTTTCGGGAGCAGTTGTCGTAGTACATTCTGGAAACATCATCAGCTAGAAAAAATAACGAGGGGCAAAGTTTGTGGCTTAGCTTTTTTTCTTCAGCATTTCTAGTTCCTCTGTGTGTGGAGCAAAGGACGCAGAAATACGTCGGCATTGCGATTATCACCCAACACACGCCTCATGTCGATACGCTTTACGTATACGTCGACACACGCAGACTGTGCGCACTGCGCCGCGCCTGTAACATGGCGGTATGCAGACGATGGCCGACAGATGGCAGAAGTTTTGCATAAGATCTATATTCTCTCCCTCCTACCCGCATGACAATAGCAGCTTATGAACAACACATGATTTACATTTAGCATGCTGCAAGAAGTGTGGCTGCCAGCCGTTAGCGGAGATGAACGCACTTTTTCGTTTAGGCGTCGGGAAAATTATTTTTCATCCAGTAATATGATATAGTGATTGAGCGGATTAGGAACACAATGCATTGAAAGTCTACTACTGTAATATAGATGCCACTGTGCTGCAGAAGAAGAAAATACCGACAGCTCAGCTATGAGGTTACTTTTACGAATAGTATCGGGCTTCCCAATCGATTACGTGTCATTTATGAGTTGAAACACCGTGATTGGCTCCGTAACGCCACGTGATTATGTATATTAGAATGTCTACCATTATTATCGAAGCTCCGGCACTGTTATAAAGTGCTGCGTGTTATTCACTGAATTAACCCTGTCTTAAAATATTTTAGAGCTTGGTAGTTGATGATTCCGAAGGTGATCCGCACATGTCCTGTATAGGTTCCGGGTTCTATCTCGGCTGCGGCTGTCACATTTGAATGAAAGCGAAATGCATGAGACCTGTGTACTTTATGATGCCTGTGCAAATTAAATGAGACCAGACAGTCAAAACTTCCGGAGCCGTCCACTACAGCATCTCTGATAATCATATCGTTGTTCCGGGACGTCAATACACTAATATTAGTGTGTTGAAGGTGAGGAGCAGGGGCAAAGCGATAATTACTGTCCCAAATATTTGCGTATTTTGCGTCAAATTGTCGTGTGTCGTCTTGCTTTGTGATCTCATCGGCACCGTCTTTAGGGGCTCGTTTTTTTAAACATCTGCACAAACACAGATAACATTAGACTTGTGTACGAACATAAAACAAACTTGAATATCGAATGAACTAGCCGCTTTCGTAAATACAAACATTTCTCGAATAGGTGACTAATACTTGTGCATCTCAGTTGCTTGAAAATAGAACTCGACATTGGTGCAAATGATGAGTTCCGTGATCATATACAGAGCATGATATACCTTACAAAGCGCAGCCGGTTAGCACGATCAGCGCAAATAACCTAACGAACAATGTAAACTTCGCTTTGAGAAGTTGTGCAGAATGCGAATAAACAAGAGAAATATACATCCTTGATGCTTGATACCTAGTTTATTGCTATCCTATGAATACCAGGATCTAAACTCGCTGTCAAAGAACTGATAAACAGCTTTCCATTTTTTATTGATATGTGGGGTTTAACTGTCCCAAAACCACCATATGATTATGAGAGATGCCGTAGTGGAGGGCTCCGGAAATTTCGAACCCCTGGGGTTGTGTAACGTGCACCCAAATCTGAGCACACGGGCCTAGAACATTTCCGCCTCCATCAGAAATGCAGCCGCCACCAGGATTTGATCCCGCGACCTGCGGGTCAGCAGCCGAATGCCTTAGCCACTTGACCACCGCGGTGGAGCAGCTCTTCATTGTCCCAAAAGTATGTGATATTAGGGTGTGTCTGTTCTTTTGGTGACCGGGATAATTGATCAAAAATTTTTCACAGCAGTCGCCTCCCATTGGCTCTCATAAGTCACGTGCCTCACTGCTGGGATCAATTTTTTTGTATGATGCTCCCGGCAGCCGGTAGAACTTAACCTCACCTATTCAACATAACCTAACGTAACCTAACCTAACCGAAAGCACGCTGGGCCACGTCTGTCCAGTCTGTCTCGCAGCCTAACATAACCTAATCTAACGTACTTTAGGCTACGTATGCCCAGTCTTTCCCGCAGCAGGCAGCTTGTTCTCTTCTCCCCACGGCAGTTAGTCACGTGACATGTGAGAGCCAATGGGAGACGACCTCCGGGAGAAATCTTTTTGAACATTTATCTCAGTAGCCGGGAGAATAGACACTGCGTTGATTTATATTCTATTTTATGCTGGTATTGCCTCGGTTTAAAAAATCAATACTGGCGCACTCCTACTAGCGAGATGCAGTCATGACAAAACTGTGCTTACCTCGGATGGCAGTGACCTGCGCCTTGGCATCCCTGGGCAGCGGTGGCGGCCAAGTTGACGGCAGCGAGTGCATCAGCGCCACCGCGACGGCGCCGATGAAGAGTGCCGAGGAGAGCGCCATCATCGCCAGACACAGGGCGCGCACCCAGTGGACGCTGGGCACCTGGACATCACCCTCGCGCGAGACGGAGCGGTCGGCGATCAGGGACTCCGTGTCCGGGACGCCGTACTGGTTAACGCCGGAGTCTGGTCGCGACGAGCGCCTCGTCTTCCGTGATCGCTGGTCGGTTGCGCTGGTCCCACTGTTAGCCGTGCCGCGGTTGGTGGCCGCTACGCACTGGGAGTCGTCGAGTGGTGGTTCGGGCTGGCGGTTCAGTCCCGGCATGAAGCGTTCCCAGTAGGAAACCATCTGCTCGGTCTCCTCGGATAGCGTGGACCGGCTGCCACGGGAAGAGCTGGAGACGGACGACATTTCTCTGGGTAGGCGACTTGTTGTCTTGCTGGATGCGTGAGCGCTTGCGTCTGCAAGCGAAAATCTTTGACGGTTGTGGCACGCGCTCGGTGCTCACGCGGATCCTTCTTCTTCTTCACCGCGAATGCGCCAACCATGCATATTGAAGATGTTAACGAAAATTCATGCAATACTTATAAAACAGCGTGGTTAGCTTTTCTCAGTATCAAAGGATGTTTCATCTCTCACTACAGTGCACGGTCTAACACTGCTTTTCTTAACTCTTTCGACACCCGCTGATACAAAATATGGGATAATTCAAGCTTCTGTGGTCACGGCCACTCTATGTAATGTTTATGGTGTCAAGCACTACCTAATTTGGCCATATTTGGGTGCAAAACGGTCGATTAGGACGATCTTCGCAGGACGCTGCTCGCGAAGCTGTACTAAATACATATAAGCCATATCCTAGCAAAAATTCATTTAGTGTGATTGATATGGGCGCCTGGTCATCGTGGTATCATAATAATAAACGAGATTGCTGACCACCTCGCACTAGGATTCCTTAATGGTCCGATTGTGTCAATCATGCCTCTAACAGCTCATGTTACAGCACCGAGGTTCAGGAAACCTTCACTTGTTGAAGACTCATTAGATATTACCATACCAAATCTATTGAATTCTCGTGGTCGCACTTCGCATGGAATAATAAATGGTTTTCCACACGTAAATTGGAAGTCTCAATTACGAAATTGCGACGTCGTATACCACTGCCTAATGTCTACTTAAACAGCTCTGGTCTCGTACGACCTCCTGTGTGCTCAAGCTTTAACGATCCTGAAGATATCGACCATCGCCTACTAACATATCACCCTTTTAAACTTCAAAGAAAAAAACTGCGTCAAAATTTTATATGAAAAAAACTGGACATTTCATTTATATTCCGAATATTTTGTCCTTTGGGGCTGCTCATTAGATTTTAGCAACAGGAACGTCTGCGGCGCTCTCTGTGAATTCCTATGGGACAAAAATAGATTACCTTGCCGAGTCATTGATCAGCTCTCTTTCCAAATGAAAATTGAATTTAGCATTTCATTATTAGACTGCATTATTTGACCTACTGAAGACTTATGTATTACAAATATATCTCAATAATTCTAAACATTCTAATAATTTCTTTTCGAAATTTTCTTCTTCCGTTTCGTGTCCTTATTACCCTATGCTGTTAAAGTAAACAAAGTAATCACCATTCCTATTGGGTCCAACCAATTCACTTACATTAATCGCCGGCTTTTCAGCCAATCCCTCTTAGTGGGTAAGAGCCACTACTGAGGAACAAGCAAGCAAGCAAGGAGCGCCACTTATATGTGACGCAAAAAAACAAAAACAAAACGCGAAGATGGCGTTCTCGGGCAGCGGAAACAACCACGCGTTTTAAGAATATTTTTATCCGCCACGCACAATCACCTTTGAAATGCGAAGAATTTTTTTGCCTACTACTAACACTTCCGGTATCTATCTATCTATCTATCTATCTATCTATCTATCTATCTATCTATCTATCTATCTATCTATCTATCTATCTATCTATCTATCTATCTATCTATCTATCTATCTATCTATCTATCTATCTATCTATCTATCTATCTATCTATCTATCTATCTATCTATCTATCTATCTATCTATCTATCTATCTATCTATCTATCTATCTATCTATCTATCTATCTATCTATCTATCTATCTATCTATCTATCCACCCGCCTACATTTGGGTACTCTCGTGATCACCCCCTTGCACTCTAAGAAAATATAGAGTATTCGTGGAGTAGTTCTACTACACAAAAATTGGCAGATCCCTCGTACAGTGGGAATCAATGATATGCGAAACGCGAATTAGAAATGTTGATATGTCGCTTTAGAATCAGCACAATGTTACGAGGCGGAGGGGAATAATGCCCTACATGACTTCCGTGTCATGATTATCATGTGTGGATGCGTCGTTTACCTTCGGCATCTATTAACGTCACGTGATACCAAATTTAGTATATGTGGATCTAGCGAAACGACCGCGAGCATGCTGTAAGCGTGGTATGTTGTCATGTTCTTACCTGACACGCGTACTAGGATTATCATGTTTGCACCAGTCATATTGCCACGTTCCATTTCCCAAACTTTTGTTATCGTCCCAAAACACCACACGATTCTCAGCGCAAACCGCGCCTGCACTTTTCGTGAGGGTTCCGTACTGTAGTAGATCATTTCGATAAGATCACGCCCACTGTGCCAATGGTACAGATTGTTCTGGAACGTACGCCGCCGCCAGCAGTAGCGCTAGAACATTCGACGGCGGGAGTATAAATGCCGACGCGCTTCGCCGTTTGTCAGTTGTTGATCGAAGGCCGACGCTCCGTTCGCCGCTATAAGTCTGAGACTGCTATCTGTACGAGACTGCTGCTGTAATTGGACTTTCTGTTTACCGGGCACAGGTTCGCCCAAATAAACAGTTAAATCCCAACAAGAAGTCTCCTGTCTACGGTCAAGTCACGACCCCGTGACATCTGGTGGAGGTGCTGCTTCGTTCATGTACCGGACGCCCCCGTCAAGCCGTGAACCCAGCCCACGTCGCGGAGAAGACACCGACGCCAACCAGGAGCTTAAACATCGCCTCCAGACGCCTCCGTTACTTGCCCATTTCGACGAATTCGCCGAGACAGAAATACATACTGACGCAAGCAGCGTAGGTCTTGGTGCCGTTCTTGTGCAGAGGGCTGACGGACTTGAAAGGGTTATTAGTTACGCCAGCCGATCGCTATCCAAAGCAGAAGCAAATTATTCCACAACAGAAAAGGAGTGCCTCGCCATCATCTGGGCTACGTCGAAATTTCGCCCATACCTCTACGGCAGGCCCTTCAAAGTTGTGAGCGACCACCACGCCTTGTGTTGGCTAGCCACTTTGAAGGACCCTTCAGGTCACCTCGCACGATGGAGCCTGAGACTTCAAGAATATGACCTTACTGTCATTTACAAGTCCGGCAAAAAACACTCCGACGCCGACTGTCTCTCTCGTGCGCCTGTCGACCCACCGCTACCCGACGACCCGGATGACGACTACTTCTTGGGAACGATCACTACCGACGACTTCGCTGAACGACAGCGGGCCGACCCGGAACTTAAGGCCCTAATAGAATACCTCGAAGGCAAGACCACCGAAGTCCTGAAGGTATTCAAGCGCGCACTTGCGTCGTTTTTTCTACGAAACGGTCTTCTACAAAAGAAAAACTTTTCACCGCTTCGGGCTAAGTACCTCCTTGTGGTGCCTTCAGCTCTGCGACCAGAACTCCTGCAGGCCCTGCACGACGATCCGACGGCAGGGCACCTTGGTGTTTCTCGCACGCTCGCGAGGATACAAGAAAGGTACTACTGGCCGCGTCTTACCAGCGACGTCACTCGTTATGTGAGGACATGCCGGGACTGTCAGCGACGCAAGACACCACCGACAAGGCCAGCGGGACTTCTGCAGCCAATTGATCCACTTTGCCGACCTTTCCAGCAGATTGGTATGGACCTACTGGGGCCGTTCCCGACGTCGGCTTTCGGAAACAAGTGGATCGTGGTAGCTACCGACTACCTCACCCGCTACGCCGAGACAAAAGCCCTGCCAAAAAGCAGTGCATCCGAGGTAGCTAAGTTCTTCATCGAAAATATCGTCCTACGTCACGGCGCCCCGGAGGTCCTTATCACCTACAGAGGAACGGCATTCACTGCCGACTTAACTCGAGCGATCTTGGCATACAGCCAAACAAACCACCGCCGGACGACAGCGTACCACCCACAGACCAACGGCCTCACCGAGCGGCTTAACAAGACGATCGCCGACATGCTGTCAATGTACGTCGATGTCGAACACAAGACGTGGGACGCCATTCTTCCGTATGTGACCTTCGCATACAACACGGCGGTGCAGGAGACGACGCCGATATCTCCATACAAATTGGTCTACGGAAGGAGCCCGGCAACGACGCTCGATGCCATGTTACCCAACGTCACCGACGAAGAAAACCTCGATGTGAGCGAGTACCTTCAACGCGCCGAAGAAGCCCGACAACTTGCGCGGCTCCGGATCAAGAATCAACAGACGACCGACAGCCACCGTTACAACCTTCGACGACGCTTCGTGGAATACCAGCCCGGTGAACGTGTTTGGGTGTGGACGCCGATACGCCGACGTGGACTAAGTGAAAAGCTTCTGCGACGGTACTTCGGACCGTACAGGGTGGTTCGACGTCTCGGCCCACTTGATTACGAGGTTGTCCCCGACGGCATCACGAACTCTCAACGACGCCGATCGCGACCTGAAGTCGTCCATGTCGCGCGCCTCAAGCCGTTTCATGCGCGTTAACAAACTGGAACAGTGTTTTTTTTGTATTATTGTTGTATCGTAATTTATTCATTGTACTTTCTTGCGTTATTGTTGTACCTTAATCTTTAGTTAAAGCATCGAGACGATGCCTTTTTCAGAGGGGGGCAATGCCACGTTTCATTTCCCAAACTTTTGTTATCGTCCCAAAACACCACACGATTCTCAGCGCAAACCGCGCCTGCACTTTTCGAGAGGGTTCCGTACTGTAGTAGATCATTTCGATAAGATCACGCCCACTGTGCGAATGGTACAGATTGTTCTGGAACGTACGCCGCCGCCAGCAGTAGCGCTAGAACATTCGACGGCGGGAGTATAAATGCCGACGCGCTTCGCCGCTTGTCAGTTGTTGATCGAAGGCCGACGCTCCGTTCGCCGCTATCAGTCTGAGACTGCTATCTGTACGAGACTGCTGCTGTAATTGGACTTTCTGTTTACCGGGCACAGGTTCGCCCAAATAAACAGTTAAATCCCAACAAGAAGTCTCCTGTCTTCGGTCACGTCACGACCCCGTGACAATATACTTTCGTCATGCATTGATGTCACCTGACACCGAATTTGGTATATGTGGAGCTTGCAAAATGGCTGATAGCGCATCATGAA